ACATCATTCACTGAAGCAGCATGTTACTGAGAAAGTATTTTGAGGTGTAGAGTAGAAAGAATAGGAAACTCTTCTAGGGGAGGAAAAAAAGTCTTTTTTCTCTACCCATCTTAAGTTCTCTAGCTGGGACCATGCAAGTTAGACTAACAAAAGACAAATTAAGAAATAAAAAAGCACAGAAATGTATTTAATGTATGTATGTAATGTGTGAGCCTGATGTATGTCATGGAAGAAAAAAGAGGTCAGAGAATCCTTCCAGCATCTACTGTTTGTATGACCTGCTTGAGGGAAAAAGTATTCCTTCTGGCACCAACCCTTTCTCAAATTTCTCAAGCTTGAAATATTCATTATGGCAAGGTACCATACTTTGGAATAGCCTGTTCTGAACCCTGTCGCTCTGTTTAGTCAATGAATACTACATTCAAGCAAGGAGGTAACAAAGAATAATTTTCAAAAGTTAAAAGAATGACTGTCATAAAAATATAGAATGCAGTCAACTGATTTTTAGCACATTGGGAAAGGATAGTCTCTTTAATAAATGGTGCAGGGAAAACTGGATATCCACAAACAGAAGAATGAAAATGGACCCATATTCTGATCCCTTATAAAAGAATCAACTCAAAATGGATTAGGGACTTAAACATAAGACCTGAAATTATAAAACTATTAGAAGAAAATATAGGGGAAAATCTCCATGACATTGTTCTGGGAAGTGATTTCTTGGATAAGATCCTAAAAGCACAAGAAACAAAAGCAAAAATAGACAAAAGGTATTGCATCAAACTAGAAAGCTTCTGCACAGCACAGGAAATGATAGAGTGAAAAGACAGCCCATGGATTAGGATAAAATATTTGCTAATCATACATCAGATAAAAGCCTAATGTCCAAAATAGACAAGGAACTCAAGATACTCAATAACAAGAAAACACATAACCCAACAGAAACATTGGGTAATGGACTCAAAAAATAATTATGTTTTGTAATGATGAATATGCTAATAATCCTGATTTGATCATCATATATTGTACACAAATACAATAGTCAACTCTATACCCCACAAATATGTATAATCAGTTATATTTCAATAAAAAAAAATAAAGTATGTTCCATAGCCCAGGGAGAAAAAGAAAAACTAAATTCTGAACTAAGAAAAACAAAAATGGGCAAAGAACTTGAATAAACATTTCTCAAGAAAAGACATACAAATGACAAACAGATGGATGAAAAATGCTCAGCATCTCTAATCATCAGAGAAATGTAAGTTAAAACCACAATGAGATATCACCTCCCACCTGTTACATCGGCTTTTATTAAAAAAAATGAAAACTAACAAATGAACAAATGTTTGTGAGGATGTGGAGAAAAGGGAACCATTATGCACTGTTAGTGGTATCATAAATTAGATAGCCACTTTGTTTTGTTATTTTGTTTTGTTTTGTTTTTAGTATTATTTGTTTTTTCTTTATTTGCTTTTTTTTTTTTTTATCTCAGCATAGTATTAGTATATCCACTTTGAAAAAAGTATGGAGGTTCCTCAAAAGATTGAAAATACCATATGATTCAGCAGTCTTATTGCTGGATATATACCCAAAGGAAATGAAATCAGTATGCCAAAGGAACGTCTGCACTCCCATGTTTATTGCAGCATTATTCACAATAGCCAAGATATGGAAATAACCTAAGTGTTCGTAATGGATGAATGGATTTGAAAAATGTGGTGTATATACACAATGGTATACTATTCAGCCTTAAAAGAAAACGAAACCGAAAATGAAAGCAAAACAACAACAACAACACACACACACAAAAAAAAACACCAAAAAACAGGAAATTTTGTCATTTTTGACAACATGGATAAAACTAGAGGACATTATGTTAAGTGAAGTAAACAGACACTAAGAGACAAATACTGTATGATCTCACTTATATGTGGAATCTAAAAACTTGAACATATGGGAAGTAAACTGTGGAATGGTGGCTACCAGAGGCTGGGGTTGAGGGATTGGACAAGGGAAGGGGAGTTGTACAGCTGGTCAGTAGGTACAAAGTTATAGTTAAATAGGAGGAATAAATTTTGGTGTTCTATTGCACAGCAAGATGGCTACAGTTAAAGTATTATGTATTTCAAAACAACTTAAAAGAGGATTTTAAATGATCTCCCCACAAAGATATGATAAATAGTTGATGAAATGATAGACATGTTAATTACTCTGATTTGATCATTCAACAATGTATACATATATCAAAATATCACTTTGTACCCCCAAAATATATACACTAATAAAATAAAACTAAAAAAAAGTCTAGAATCAATATGGGTATTTACAGCAGTAGTGAGGGAACGAGACCATTACTGCTGGTCTAAAAAAATTAATGGGATTGGGTATTTATAGGCATTCTGAAGAAAAATAATGTTTAAATGAGATTTGTAGATTACGTATAAAAATATTCAATGCCTCGCAGGGTAATAAAAGTATTTCTTCCAGATAATTGTCTCCAAATCAACATGCAAATATATGGTATATAGGTCTGGTTAAATAGAAAATACTTTAGTCAAACACAGTTACATTTTTTTAGAGCTGCACTATCCATAGTAGCTACTAGCTACCCATGTTATTTGACTGTAAATTCAAATTGATTAAAATAAAATGCAGTAAAGATTCAGTTTTTCAGTTATAGTACCTGCTTGTTAAGTGCTCAACAGACACAATTGGCTAGTGGCACCCTTATTGGACAGCATAGATGTGGAATATTTTAATCATCATAGAAAGTGCTATTGTACAGCACTCTTCTAGAGGATTGACTAGTCCTTGAACAGGCTTTTTTCTTTTTTCTT